TAATAAGATATATAATTATCCAAATTTTCTTCTTTACCTCAAGGTACTTCCAATAGCTGACATTATACCTTAGAAATCCCTGGCTGGGAAGAAAAGCTAAGTCTTTGTGACATTTTTGCTAAGGTATCAATGAAAAAAATCACCAATTCAATAACTTCTTGACGCTCATTAGAGTTCCAGATACGATGAGGCATGTTAGGAAGATTAATTACGATCGTTGCCTTGCAGGAGTTCACCACCCAGAGCTCAGATACCCCTACACATAGTTACATCACAAGGTAAAATGAGAAGGTAAATAATTATAAAGTGATGCGCAAAGTTAAGGGACCACAGATGACCAGAAATTCACAACCCACTCGGGGATACAAGTCTTTGCAGTTCTACATCAAGGTGACAGGAGCCTAACGCTGTGATTTACAAGTGTTAGTACAGTGTGAGAGGTACCACCTCCCATCAGCTCGAAGGGGCCCTCGGGGAGCAGGCTTCAGGGCCAGGGCTCTACAGGAAATGCCAGGAGGTGCTCCTCAAACCACCTGGGGCGGTGCGGCACGGGACTGTGAGCACTGACTGGGCAGAATGGATGGCCGCCGCAGGGATGGATTACCGGCGGTGCCCGTGTATAACTGACGATCAGCCTGAGGAGGGTCTGGGAGGAGGCAGGGAGCAAACCGGGCATGGCTGGAAAATAAAGCCCAACCCTGATTCTCAAGGTCATGAGTTTAGATTGTATCCAGGACACAAAGACAAACTCCCCCTCATTCTGGATTAACTGCCCATCCCCCATGACTCCCTTTGTCACGGAACCTATCATGCGGACCTAGAATTTTCTCCTTATGTACTTTATAATCGATCACATTGAACACTAATTTCCTCTTTACCTCTATTACACTGTAAGTTTCTTGAGGGCAGAAACTGTATTGTATCTAGTAACTATCAAAGCGTCTAACTATGGAAGGGATTTAATAAATGCTTGCATAAATGAATCAATCAATCAATCAATCAAGTTAAATGATACATTCTTATTTCTGCCCCTGGATTATTCTAAACAGATCCTGTCTCATTCTAAATCTCTTTAATTTTTTTATTTATTTTTTATTTAGGTCAATTTACCTTAACTTTCTCATAGAATGAGGTTTACAAATGTTTACCTCGCTTGAAAGGCATTCTTTTTTTAAAAAAAATGATCACTATAAAGGATTTCTCCCGTATTGCCAAACTCCTTGCCCTGTGTCCGGCTTCGTGGCTTGTGTGCCTCTGGGCCGCCCCCCTTCTCCGCGACGCCACGCCCCCCCGGCCGCACCAGGCAGACGCAGCTCTAGGAGAACCTGCGACAACCTTCCCTGACCTTGCAGGTTCAGAGAGCTACGGTCCTCTGTTCCCGCAAAACGTCCATACGCTCAAAATTCAATATGTTACGATTCTATTTTATAAAGTCCCAAAACAGGCAAAATGAATCTCACATTAATATGTCAGGGGAGACGGCCACGGCAGGGAGGGTGAGGGGGTCTGCAGTGCTGGTGACACTCTCGTTGTTTCTCTCAGGACTGGTGACACTCACGTGCTCCCCTTTGTGAAGTCACTGAGCTACAGCATCGAAATGGTTCCACTTCTCTGTGTGTGTGTGTTCGTAGTATTGCCTGCTGCGGCAGGCGCCGGCCAGCAGCGATGCAGCGAGCTGCTCAACGTTCAGGTGCAGAGCCCGGAATAACAGGCACAGGAGGAGAACAATGCAGGCTGGGGCGGGGGGGGACTTAACCCTCCCAGAATCATCATGATTTACCAGGTACACACAAATAAACACCTATCAATATTCTTTGGTGTGGACAATTTGCACTTTCCTGATCTAATATAGTATCAATAGAATCATCACTGGAAAATCAAAACAACCCTCCAATGCCTATCGATGATAAATAAGTGAGAACAAAAATCTGCTCCCTAACATTTTCCTAGAAAATTTTACCCTGCTTCTCTGGTATTTTTTCCCCGTCTCTGTAGCCTGGGGTTATTCTGACAAGTGGGGCCATGCTCTATCACCCTGGTTCTCATCGACGTGGGTTTTACCTGCGGGGGAGAAGGCAGGAGGGGGGTGTTATGAGACCACACAGGAATTTTTGATCACCAGAATATAAACATGAGACTTCCGTCAGTATCAGGTTGAAGCTGTAAATTGGGGGTATTGGCCTCACCTTACTACCCCACATTTCTAAAAACAGACATCTGGTATTAGGAAAACAGTCCATTAAGAGCAGGCGAATCCAGTACAAAGACTGAGCCTTCCTAAAATTTCTTCCTCTTGGTCCCACGTCCACGGCCAAAGCTAGGACCTGTCTCTGGCGATGCCCGTTCTGTGTTCTCCTGACTGGTCCTCGCCCTGCCTCAGGGTGATGTACACACTGAACCACTATCCAAATCAGAACCTATCCGCCCTCAGAGCCCAGGTCATGTCCTTATCCAAAACACGAGGGTTATTAATCATAGTCACTCAAAACCTATGGGAAGAAGAACAGAGCAATTGTAATCAAATATTAACAAAAATTTATTGAGTGTCCCATATTCCCAGATAATTTTCCAGGCCAGATGGAGTTTACATATGTTGAGCTCACATTCACTTTAGCAAGAAAAATTAGTCATGTTTCTGTTCTTCCCCAGGGTAGAACCAACAGGTAGACTCAGTGCAACTCTTTGTCACTTAGTAAGAAATAGCAGATACTTTGTATTTTCTTCTTTTTGTTTCTCCCAACTCACTAACATATATTCAAATCGTCATGTATTTTTTTCACAATAAGAACAAAACATTTAGGACTTCTTAATGTTAAAAACACACACACACACACACACACACACACACACACACCGATAAACAGAGAGGCCATCTTCAGAGTTGAGATGAAGAGACAAGCATTCCTGAAAGACGTGTGGAGTGTCGGCCTCAGTAGAGAGCAGACGGCAAGTCAGCACTGACCACCCTCTGCAGACCCTGCCCCCCGGTGACTGTCTACACTAGCCCTCCGTCCATTCTAAACGTGCAAATATGTCACTTTGTCTTCAGCTGGAGATGGTTTTCGAGATATGCCTGTTTTATTACATATGATAAGAATTACACTGTAGACATGGACACTAAATAGATGAACCACTAAGAAGCAGCAAAGCAGTGGTCCACAGACTGCACTTAGCTTTTAAAACTCATGAATACTGGCTTCTCTTTTCACTGTGAAGTCTTTCAATTAAAAATACAGTGACAGGAGTCATGTTCAGTCACCTGTATCCAATTAGTTTTGCAAGTTAGGGTCTGGATTTAATAAGATGTATTATAAAGATTTAATTCCCGCGAGGCAGTTAATTTCTCTCAACTCCCTGCCGGAGACTCAGGCCAGCCAAGTCCCTAGGTATCGACGTAAGAATCATGGCAAATATATTATTACAACCAGAAAATCAACTAAAAGTATATTTTCTTATGGAACATCTTCTTTACTTCCATAAAACTACTTACACATGTCTTAAGAAATACTGAAAATGATTATTTTGAAATTTGGCAGAAAGACTGGTACTCGCTCCCCAAATCCGGTCATCTGTTTTGCTTTTCAATGTGAATTACAGTGTTGTGTGTTATCTTTCTTATTAATGTCCAGCCCGATCCAATAAAAGTAATGAGCATAAGAAATATACATTTTTTCACAAGCATTCTAGATGGTTCTTATGATCAAGGAGGAATTAGAAAGCACTGCAGAACATCATTCCACAGCTCTTGTTTACGTAATTACGTTTATGCGTTATACCTACTGTCAGAGGAACAGTACTCGGTACTAGACTGCCACCAGCAAGCAGGCTACACAGAAACAACATTACCCAATCCACCGTCTCAGCCTCGTGGGCATCGAGCTTTTCCCTGAATGAGCAGGCCCACACTTTTTATAACACATACATGAGTATTTTTCCCCACACTGTCCATGTCAGGTCTTATCGAATACATTCAGAGGAATCCATAAAGTTAAAAAATAAGAAAGCACCAAATGTTACGAGTTTAGATTGTTTCCTGGGCTGTTACTGTTGCTGTGTTCTTTGATGAAGTCCCTAGACATCGCATGCCCGATCTCAAAGGAAACAGGCCTGCTCTCATGAGCAACCAGCTGCTCTCAAAAAGGAGCTCCAATTTCAGAAACCTGATGTTAAAAAAAATCTGATGCAATAACGATGTATTTAACATCCTTTCAAAATACCTAAATCTAATTCATACCTGTGGTATACTGCATCATACTATTTTCACTTGATTTTTTTGCAGCAAGGGGGGGGGGGATTTCTCAAACTAGAAACGTTGCATTGCATTTAATAACAGATTATAGAAGGGGAACTATTTTCAGACTTAGCCTACTTAGATCTAGTCTATAATTCTTGTGTTTGCCAAGAGGCTGAACTATAAACATGTTGATAATGAGCTAGATTTAGATTTTGCTTTCACTGATGTATTCTTTTTTTCTAAAAATAGCTCACAATGCAAAAATCAGAAAAGCCAGAAAGCAGAGATAACAAATCATTAAGAAATAAATTATTCATCTCCTACAACAAGTGTGTGTGCATAAGTCAGAAGTAACTAGGAGTAAACTGCAGTACAGAGCTATACTCAACACTAGTGTCAAAACCTCACATCTGCAACAGAACATGTATTCCGTTCACAGATCAGTTTGTATTCATTTAACCTGCATAACAACTCAGTGACCATCAGGAGTTTTATTTTAGTCCATGTTCAAAGGCCTCACAAATATCGACATTCGATAATGCTCCTTACTGAGGCTTTTGAAGTAGCAGAATGGGTTTTTGTTGCTGGTTTTTTTTTAAAAAATCAGAATGTGATCGGCCTGGTTCTGCTAAGAAACACCATCCAAAGCAGAGGTGTGAGCCGACGCGGCCAGGCAGCTGTCACCGAGCCGGTTTCTGTTCACTCGGAAGGAAGGGAGAAGGGACTGGGCAGCAGAACGGGTGCACGGACACGGGCTCAGGCTTACCTCTCCCGCTCGCCTCCGGTGACGTCATACAGGCGGTTGGCACCTCCATCCGCACAGGCCCTCAAAAGCGCTTGAGGTAGAGAACAGAGAGCATGTGTCAGTACAGGGCGCCTGGAGCAACAGCTCCCGGGTTAAGCGCTGATGAAACAGGCGCGCAGACACAGTCACGCTCCTGCAGGTCACTTCCCACTCAGAGCACGCCTGCTGCTGCCGGACACCTGTGAGGAGCACAGACAGACAGACAGAACCCCCTCGGACAGCGTATTTCTTTCCTGCCTCTTCCTTTCATTACTGCATGTGTGTCCCCGATATCCCTTCTGGCCTGGTTTCCTTTGTGTGACAGAAGACAGCCCTCCCTCGGTGACAGGCAACAGTGGTAACTCTTCCCTCTGCTTCATGGATGTTTACGGACACGTCCCACTCACGGCTGGTTTTGTGGGTTTCCACATTCTATGGCGATAGAGGAGCTTTCCTGTAAGATGAACCGTAGGCATAACATCCTCAGTTCACTTGAAAATATCAAGTAACTGATAACCTAGACAGCGTGTGAATGCTGTGAAGACGGAGGAGGGTACATCCGACAAGACGGGCTGTCTCTGCACCTGGGGCTCTGCCCTGCCTCCCACGCTGCTTCCCTGCGGCCACGGGAGCACTGGGGGCTGCTGATTTGGCATCAGGCACTGATACTGGGAATCGATCATGGGTGCTGTTCTACGCCTCCTGCGGGTGTTCCCTGAAATATTCTCAGTCCGCAGACTCCTAAGTTTGGGTCCTCAGTGTCTTCTAATTTTCCTAGAAATGTTTGGTGTCTCAGCCTCAGTGCCCTCTTTCATTTTTTTTAAATATCGTTTCCCTGATGGTGTAAGACCAGGCTCTATTCCTCATCCTGGGGGATGAGAGCAAATGCAGAGATGGCTGAGGTTCTCACTCCTCACCCTGAACAGAGCTGTGGGACTTCGTGACTTTTGCTTTGATAGCTACTGGGACAGGAGGCAAGGCTGTGGGGTTTGTTCAGGGCAAGGAAAGGAACACAAAATAATACTGACTGTCAACTGTAACTGAAAACAAACAACAAAGTTATAATACTGTTCGATGCGGTCCTAAATGCAGGTAGGTGAAATTTGATGACGATGTTGTAAGCAGGAGAGGGTTTCGGGAGAAAGGGAAGTAAAATGAAAAGAAAAACCTCTTCCTCCATTTTTGTTAGAATTAAAATACAGTTTAAAAAGCCATGTTTGCTGGAAAAGGAAAGTCTGAGCTACTTAAAAGGTGAAAAACAAAAATAAGTTTTATAGAGATATCTAAGACAGACATCTATCTCATTTTGCCAATCACCACAGTTCCTTGTAAGAACAGGCACCCAAATTCAAATTAAGCCACAAAAATTACTTGAAGATTACAGACTATTCTGCGTATTTAAAAATATCAAAACCTAAAAGTTCGAAATCATCAAAATCTAAAATGGAAAGAGAGATCATCTCATACAAAATACGACTCAGAGTAACTGAATGCGGGGACTGGAAAGACTGTAAATAGAAGCAGATGGTAAACTATTAATAACTGCCCTCGGACTGTACAGAACAATTCTCTGTAACAAATTAACAAGCACACGGGGTCCTTTTATGTAAAAGTGGATTCACGGAAGTTAATAGGAAAACCGAAGAAACTGTTTTTAGTGGCTAAGATTATTGAGTCGAATAACTTGTCCATTTTTCAAAGTATATTATTTTGCCCAGATCAGTTGAAGTTAACATTTATACCAGTTATGTGCCAGACCCTGTCTGGAATAGAAAGATGAATAAAACAGATTTAGCCCTCCAGGCTCACATTACAGTAGGAAAAAGAGAAACAAGCAAATCTATAGGCAACAAGCTGCAGCCTCTACGGAGCCAGAGCGCTACAATCAACCCGACGAAAGGGGGGGGGGGCAGGAGCGAGGGGAGGGGCCTTCTATGGACAGAGCCTGAAACTGGTTCAGCGAAATCGGTGTCACTTTTCCGATCCAAAGCCTGTTTCTAATGCCTGTTATTTCTCATACCAAGATTTAAATGGATATTTCAGCATAGTTTATGAAAGGAGAGATAACTAGAACACAGGAAGTAAATTTGCCCACATTTATTCTTGTTTTAAACGCAAAGGAAGCCAAAATAACCCTGATTAAATCTGTAGACTATTCTCTCTGGACCAAGATGTAGGGTGCAACCCATCTGAAAGGACCAAGTTCCAGTCTGTCCCCAAAACTATTTTGTTTTCAATAAGGCTTTCGTAAAAATGATGTGTTCTACTACATTTAAAATTGTAGTAACAAAAATGTTTTAATGAGTTCAAAATATTTTCCACATACATTAATCAAACTTTTTTTGAAAACAAAATCCTTCAAGCATATAATGAACAATTCATTGATAGCAATGTGAAAAGTGGAGAACAAAATATCCCTGTCAATGAAAGTGACCAATGAAAGGAAGCAGAGTAGGTGGCACTCTTTAATAAGATATTTTTTGTAAATCATAATGAATTAGCATCAAAAATATGTTCACTTCATCATTTAAATTGTCTCAAGCTTTAATGAATAGCAATTATTACATGAGTTATCTTTTAATGTAAAAATTTCATTGGCTTATTCAGCAAAACTTTTGCAGATTTGTCAAATACTATAACTTCAATGGTTAAACAATTTTTTACTGTGCATCAGGCTGATATGCAGTTGAAGACTAAAATGCATTAACATCTCCATAAACCTTTATACATTGGTACTACCAATAAATATATTAAATACATCTTAAGCTAACTTTTTTTAGCCTGGCATAATGTAATTTAATGTTACTGAAAATGAAGAGTTTCATTCACTATAGAGATTTGTTGGCTATTTAATTAATTTCCACTGACGAAAGTTGGACAGATATAATTTGACTTTCTGCAAAGTAGGTTACCAAATTAGTTACAAACATGAAGGTAGAAGAGAAAATAAAGTGAAATTAAAGAAACATTTTTCAATTTCGGTTAACTGAAAGAACACCAGATAGAGAAGATTTCAATTCTAGTCTAGATCAAGTACTTATTAGTCCTATGACTTGGAACTAATCCCAACAATGCTGACTCTAATGCAAAATAAAGATTATTATATATATTTTACCAAATCCACAAGTTTTTCAGAGACTAGAGAAAACTAGAAGGGAAGAGCGTGGGGAAACAAACTCTATGACCCCTTGTTGGTGAGGCCACAACTTTGGGGACAGGTGGGCAGATACAGAAAAATGTAAGTGTGCCTGCCTTCTGATCAGAAACTCTATGAAAAACAGTAGCAAACTTCAATGGCACAAATCGAATATTGGTAAAATACATCACGGCCCAATTATGGAAGCACAAAAATAAGTAACTATATATTGTGCTCGTGTTATTTCATAAGGTGCATTGTTATTTAACGTTTTAAATAATTTTGGTCAAATGTTCCTTGCAGTAACACCTCGAAAATGCATGGGAGTACACCAAATTCAAGAAAACTAAGAACCGGGCCAAGGTTACTTTGTCAAGTTTATCAAGTAGATATATTAGTCAATGATAAAAGTGGGGAAAAAACATGTGAGATACTACCATCTGCATATAACATGATAAAGGTATTGACTTTTACATTTATACACTTATAAGCACAAGAAATCCGTTCCAGTGGTACTTCTGCAGAAGAGGGCTAGGTCAGAAAGAAAGATTTACTTTTTGCATAATGGGTTTTCTTCACTGGAACCCCACCCCTGTACTCTTACCCAAATGACAATTTTCTGCCCAGAGCGACTGATTCAGAGACACAGATGGGATCCAACCAAAGACGATGAAACCTACAGCCTTTCCAGGGTCCCTTCTCTTCTGTCCTGCCACCTGCTGGTGGAAGCTTGGCCTGCGATCTATCGCATGGACCCAGAGAACCAAGGCCGGACAGTCAAGATAAAGCGAGGAGACAAGGGCACTGATTGAGTCCCTCTGGCCATGGCAATAGCCAGGCACTAGCCTTATTAATGTCAACTCCAGAGACTCAGCCTTCCCCAAATCTGTGCCAGATCAAGCCCTTAAGAAGAGCTGTCTATTTTTGCAGAGAGTTTGCTGATTATTTTAGACACTACCATCAGCAAAGCCTTGATTATGATCCAAATCGGTTAGTTCATGGACACGGCTGACAGGCAGATTAGCCTGCTTCCCCTATCAAGGCTTTGCTTCACATGGACAAACTTTTTTTTTTATCCTAACTGGAGGATATTTTTCCATTTTTTGTTCGGATAGAGGGGGAGGGAGGGAGGGAGAGAGAGAGAAAGAAACATCAACGTGAAAGGGACACGTTGAGTGGCTGCCTCCTGCATGACCCAACCAGGGCCGGACTACAACCGAGGTACGTGCCCTTAGCAGGAACCGAACCTGGGTCTCTCAGGACCGCAGGCCAATGCTCTAACCGCTGAGCCAAACCGGCCAGCGCACATGGACAAACTTTCATTGAAAGCACCGCATGGAGCCCTGGCCAGTTTGGCTCAGCGGTTAGAGCGTTGGCCTGCGGTCCTGAGAGACCCGGGTTCGGTTCTCACTAAGGGCACGTACCTCGGTTGCAGTTTGTCCCCGGCCCTGGTCGGTCGTGCGGGTGGCAGCCACTCGATGTGTCCCTTTCACATCGATGTTTCTCTCTCTCTCTGTTCCTCTCTCTCCCTCCCACTCTACCTGAACAACAACAAAAAAATGTCCTCGGGTGAGGATAGAAAAAAAAAGAAAGCACCGCATGGAAATATATGCTCTCTGGGGGACAGAGCAACCATTTCCTTTGCTCACAGGAGGATCATATGCATAATTAACAGCTGCTTGGATAACTCAGTTTCAGATGAAGGATTTTATTTATACTATATTTATGTGCAATTATTAGGAAAGCTCACACTATTTGTAATACCCCACACACAGTGAGTAGAATGCTCTTTTAATTTTAGTCAAGTCAGGAGCACAGAATTATCCTCGTTCCAAATACAAATAAGTGGTATTCATCCCGGGCACCTGCGTCCCAGCCCTGTCCCGGCCCAGGGAACGGGCTGACGCGGGGTCAGGAGAGTGTACTGCCTCTAGGCAGACTGTGTTCGTTCTGTTTCCCGTTCCCCCCTCCACTTCCCCTCCTCCTCTCCTCCTTAAGCACTGTGCCGGCAAAGTGTGCACGCCACTGACTCCTTCTTGATGCTGTTTCTCACGCCTACAATCAGGTTCCTCGTTCACACTGAGTGACGCCAAAGACCTCATTACGAACAAAATCTTAACAACAGCCAAACACCAAGCTGCCTATCCTCAAGTGGCACGGAAACATTTTCCTAAAAGACGAGCAAAGCTCACAGCGTGTGAAACCGCAGAGAGCGAGGCTGCACAGAAAACTAGTCTTGTACGCGGAGCTAGCACACGCGTCTGATCCAACGCGAGCTGTTAGAATGACTAACGCTGAGCACATTCTCACCGCCGCAT